GCTTGATGCGGGCGGATCACTGACAGGTCGGGAGTTCGAGACCAAATCTGACCCAAGCATGGAGAAACCCCGTTCTGCTATCTACAATACAAAATTAGCCAGGCGTAGTATGGACGCATGCCTGTAATCCCCATGCTAACTTTGGGATGGCTGAGGCAGGAGAAATCACTTGAATCCCCAGGAGGTGGAGGCTGTGCAGTGAGGCCAAGATCATGCCCATTGGCACTCCCGGCAGCCTGGCATACAAAAGCGAAAACTCCTGTCCGAAAAATAACATACAAATACATAGATATATAAAATTAGCCTGGCATTGCGGTGCATGCCTGTGGTCTCCAGCTACTTTCGGAGGCTGACGGTGGTGAGAATCAAAGGGAACCCCAGGGAGATCAAGGCAGACAGTCGACCTATTGATCACGCCACTCGCACTTCCAGCCTAGGTGACAGAGAAAACTCCTGTTTCAAAAAAGAAAAACAGAGGAGAGAGAGAGGGAGAGCAGAGAGTTATTTTAGAAAGGTTTTTATGTAGACTCCATCTTGGGACTATCTGTAAGGCTGGAAGAGGAGTCATCTCGGCTCTCCCTTTGGTAAGGAGATGGGGGGGACCATGCCTCCAGCAGAGGGTAAACTTTATGGGTCACTTTTTTTTTTTTTTTTTGAGCACGGAAGTCTCGTGCTGTCACCCAGGCCCCGCCTCAGCCTCCCGAAGTGCTGGGATTACAGGCGTGAGCCACCACGCCCAGCCAATTTTTGTATTTTTTGTAGAGATGGGGTTTCACCATGTTGCCCAGGCTGGTCTCGAACTCCTGGGCTCAAGTGATCCTCCAGCCTCAGCCTCTCCAGTAGCTGGGATCACAGGCATGTACCACCACACTCTGCTATTTTTCATTTTTAGTAGAGACAGGGTCTCGCCATGTTGCCCAGGCTGGTCTCGAACTCCTGAGCTCAAGCAATCCACCCACCTTGACCTCCCAAAGTGCTGGGGTTACAGGCATGAGCCACCCAGCCCAGCCGATGCTTGGGCTTTTGAACCTCAGGGCATTTCTATGACAATCATGCCCTTTCAGCCTTCCAGGTGATGAGGCTCAAACAATGGCCTGAGGGGATGTGAGACCTGGGACTAAGCCAAGCTCCCCTCCTCTTCCTCATCCCCTGTGTCTCCTGGGCAACTAACACTCCAGCCTGATGATGTGGACTGTGGAGGCCTCGGACCACCTCTTAGCACTTGGGCATAGACTTGGCCTTTGAGTTCAGGGCTTATGGCGGGCTTCGGTGGTGAACTTCATTCCTGGGGGGACAGATGACTGCAGCCTCATTGGCAGCGGAAGGAATTGCACGAACCCTGGCTTTCTCCAGTGGCTCCTGGACACACTCAACCCCAACACCATGGGAGGGGGACCAGAGGCCAACTCTGCCTTGGACGGGCAGCTTGTTTAGAAGCCTGTGTTGGTTGCAGGTTGCCAGGCTCCCTCCCTTCCATTAAAAAAAATTATTATTATTTTTTTTGAGACGGAGTATCACTCTGTCGCCCAGGCTGGAGTGCAGTGATGTAATCTCAGCTCACTACAACCTCTGCCTCCCAGGTTCAAGCGATTCTCCTGCCTCAGCCTCCCGAGTAGCTGGGAATATAGGCATGCACCACCACACCCAGCTAATTTTTGTATTTTTAGTAGAGATGGGGTTTCACTATGTTGGCCAGGCTGGTCTCAAACTCCTGACTTGGTGATTTTACTGCCTTGGCCTGCCAAAGTGCTGGGATTACAGGTGTGAGCCATTGTGCCCAGCCTTAAAAAAAAACAAAACACCTTTTTTTTTTTTTTTTTTTTTTCTGAGGTGAAGTCTCGCTCTGCCGCCCAGGTTGGAGTGCAATGGCCGGATCTCAGCTCACTGCAAGCTCCGCCTCCTGGGTTCACGCCATTCTCCGGCCTCAGCCTCCCGAGTAGCTGGGAATATAGGCATGCACCACCACACCCAGCTAATTTTTGTATTTTTAGTAGAGATGGGGTTTCACTATGTTGGCCAGGCTGGTCTCAAACTCCTGACTTGGTGATTTTACTGCCTTGGCCTGCCAAAGTGCTGGGATTACAGGCTTGAGCCACCGCGCCCGGCCCTACCTTTTTTTTTTTTTTTAGTGACAGGGTCTTGCTATGTTGCCCAGCTGGTCTTGAACTACGGGCCTCAAGCGATCCTCCCAAAGTGTTGAGATTACAAGAGTCAGCCACCGCACTCAGCCTCAAAACTTTGACTTCTTGTTGGACTGATCTTTTCCTAGATGTCATTATTTTATTTATTTATTTTTACTTTTAATTTTTTTTAGAGATGAGATCTTTCTACATCACCCAGGCTGGAGTGCAATGGTTATTCACAGGTGTGATCATAGCTGGTCTTGACCTCCGTGGGCTCAAGTGATCCTCCTGCCTCAGCCTCCTGAATAGCTGGAACTACAGGTGCGTGCCACCACACTTGGCTTACCATTATTTTAGAAGGACTTATACCTGTCTTGCCATCTGGAGTCTGCAGATTTCTTGCCTGAGGTAAGCTCAAGCAGGGCCTGTTGTCTGGAACAAGACCTGTTCAAAATGTTTGCCTTAATGCTACAGTAGTAATGGTGATAGTCAATAATAGCTTGCTATGGGTTAGGTACTGTTCTGAGAACAGAAGTTCTCAAAGGAGTCTTGGACTCTGAGGATGGCTGAAACACTTTGGGGTGGGGGTGTCCACAAGACCAAACTATTATTATCTGAGACAGAGTCTTGCTCTGTTGCCCAGGCTGGAGTGCAATGGCACGATCTTGGCTCACTGCAACCTCCGCCTCCTGGGTTCAAGTGATTCTCCTGCCTCAGCCTCTCGAGTAGCTGGGATTACAGGCGCCCGCCACCATGCCTGGCTAATTTTTGTATTTTTAGTAGAGACGGGGTTTCACATGTTAGCCAGGCTGGTCTCTAACTCCTGGCTTCAAGCAATCTGCCCGCCTTGGACTCCCAAAGTGCTGCATTACAGGCTTGAGCCACCTCGCCTGGACCAGGATGGCTGCTCTCAGTTCAGACCTAAGCTTTGGGAGAACTGGGAACCTGTGCATGGAGGGCGGGGTGCACTGCCCTGCACCCCAGCAAGGACAGCTGCCAAGGACCTGGATAGGATCTTCAGTCTTTTGCTTTCCTGAGCTCCCAACTCAGCCAGCTCATTCCACTGGGGCCCGTGACAGGAGAAGCTTGCATTGCTCTCTGTGTCACTGGGACAATTACCCAGACATTGCAAATAGCCAGGGACCGGAGAGCTGCAGTTTCCTCCGTCTTCGCCACTTTCTTTTTTTTCTGAAACGGAATTTAGCTCTTGTTGCCCAGGCTGGAGTGCAATGGCGCGGTCTGGGCTCGCTGAAACCTCTGCCTCCCAGGTTCAAATGATTCTCCTGCTTCAGCCTCCCAAGTAGTTGGGATTACAGGCGCCCACCACCATGCCAGGCTAATTTTTGTGTTTTTAGTAAAGACGGGGTTTCACTATGTTGGCCAGGCTGGTTGTGAACTCCTGACTTCATGTGATCCACCCACCTCGGCCTCCCAAAGTGCTGGGATTATAGGTGTGAGCCACCGCGCCCGGCCTTTTTTTTTTTTTTATTAAAGACAGAGTCTCACTCTGTCACTCAGGCTGGAGTGCAGTGGTGGGATCTTGGCTCACTGTTAACCTCCGCCTCTCAGGCTCAGGTGATTCTCGTGCCTCAGCCTCCGGAGTAGCTGGGATTACAGGTGTGTGCAACCACGCGTGGCTAATTTTTTTTTTTTTTGCATTTTTAGTAGAGATGGGGTTTTGCCATGTTGGTCGGGTTGGTCTCAAACTCTTGACCTCAAGTGATCCATTCGCCTTGGCCTCCCAAAGTGCTGGGATTACAGGCGTGCACAACAATGCCTGGCCTCTTTGTCGCTTTCAAACACTGCTTCTAGGAGCTAACAAAGTGCCTCTTTGTATGATTCCCCAAGAGAGACCCACCCAGGCAGCACCTAGCCAAGGAATAAAGACCACTCCCATCCAAAAACCCTTTGATTCAACTTTTTTTATTTTTTTTTTTCTTTTTGAATGTCATGCAATAATTCACAGTCCCAAGCCCACGGTTTTCAAACAAGGTAGGAAAAAAGGAAAAAAGAAGCAAAGGAATCGGTGGTCATGGTGGGTTTTTTTTTTTTTCTTCTTTTGTTATTTCAAGCAGGACCAAATGTCAGAAAAAAATGCCTCTTTTCTCAATCATTAATTTTTTTGTCCTTTTTAAAATTGTTTATTGTTATTATTTTTTAAATTGATTTCTGCAGGCAGTAATAGTAGGGTTTGGTATAACCGGCAAGCACTCCTGTGTGTGTCTGAGAACGTGTGTGGATATGAGTGTGTCTGGTGATGGGTGCTGGGCGCTGGGGTTCCGTTTCCTTCCGGCTTCTTTGCCGCACTCGGCCACCAGCTCTCATTCATCAGGGAAAGGAAAGATTCAATTGAGATGATAAAACTCATCAATAGAAGCTATTTTTTTTCTCCCCGTTTTTCTTTTAAAAATGTTTTTTTTTTTTGTTTTGTTTTTTTGTTTTTTTCCATGTTCCCCAAAGTTCTCCAAAAATGGCTGAGTTAATTCAAATCCCTTGGCGGTGTGGTTTGTCTGCCCCCTGCCTCCCACCCGAGAGCCCGTCGTAGGTGGGGGGGATCGGGGCTGGGTGGGGGGCGCCGTGGCTGCCCAGGAGGGTCTCTTCTGGCCGAGGGTCTCTGCAGGACACCCTTGTGGCCCAGCCCTGGCTTCTCCAGAGTCTGGGGTCTCCCGGCTGGCCCTCTCCCGGGCCCTCTGTGCTGGGCCCCCGTGGCCTCTGCGCGGCTCCTCGGGTGGGGTGCGTGGGGTGCGTGGGGGGCCGGGCGGGCGCCACCTCGCCCGGGCTTAGCACCAATCGTCGTCGCTCTCGCTGTAGGGTTCGTGCAGGCCCTTCCTGGAGCCCGGCCCGCGGGGCCTGGCCAGTCCGTGCGCCGGGTAGTAGCCGTTGGGGAGTCGCCGGCCGTGCCGGGAAGGCGAGGCGCACGCCGGGCCCGAGGCCCGGGGAGTCCTGGGCGAGCGCCCGGTGGCGCCCGAGGACGCGTGTCGTGCGGGTGGTGGCGCGTCGTAGGCCCCGGCCATGGCCTCCTCGCCGCCCCCGCTGCCCGGGCCGTCGGCCTCGTCGTAGTCGGAGCCCCGATAGTAGCCGTGGTGCCGGGTACCCGGGGGCCCTTCGGACACGTGCGGGCCGGATGCCGGCCACCGGGGCCCACCGTGGCGACAGGCCCTGGGGGACTCGCTCCGGGCCGGGCCTGGGACCCGCCGCTCCATCCTGGGCGAGCGGCCGCTGCTGTGGCCCCCCGTGGGCGGCCGATCTCCCGCCAGAGGCTCGGCCGTGGGGCCTGGGTACCTCCGAGGGCCGCTGGTGGCCGCCCGGCCCGGCCTGGCCACCGCCTGCTGCTGCTGCTGCGGGGGACCCGAGCCGCCGGCCTTACGGATCACAGGGGAATAGGACACGTGTGGCCGGGGGGTGGAGGGGGTCTGGGGGAGCTGGCGGCGGCCCCGCCGCGGAGTGCTGGTACCAGATGTTGAGGGGGCTGGGCTTCCACTTACGGAACTACTGCCCTACACGAAAATTGAAACAAAGGAAATCAAAAAAAAAGATACAACAAAATCAAAGGAGACACAGGATTGGGAGGAAGAGAGGGGAGCCAAGGGAGAAGGGAGAAGGGAGGAGGAGGGGGAGAAGGAGGGGGGGGACACAGGACATTTGAATGGAAAAAAGCAACAGCCACAGGGAGGAGGGAGGGGAGGAGGGGGAGTGAGACAAGGAGGGAGGGGAGGAGTCGAAAACCAACACAACAAAGTGAAAAGAGAAATGAGAAATGGAGTTTTGTAAGTTTCGGGGTTAAAAATAGCAGAAGTTTCAAAAATTACTCACAGGCGTCCAGAAGACAAATTATAATCGAAACAAAAACGGAAGCCGGGTTAAAGGAAAGCGAAAGGTCGGGCGGCGCGGCCCAGAACTCAAATGTGATCCACAACCGAGGAGGAAGCAGCTGCGGGCGGCGGGGAGGGGGCGGCGGGTGGGCGGGGTGTTGGGGGGACAGCATGGGCAGCTGATATGGCCGGCAGCCGTGTCTGCTCCGGCCGCTGGGCACCCCTGTGGCTTGGGGGCAGGATGGGAGGTGGTCACAGCCGGGATCAGGCGACCTTTGCCCAGAGTGGCTGTCGGGTAGGGGGTCCCCTTCTCTCCTCCCCGCCTCCCCGCCGGTGAGCCCAGCCTGGGGTCACTTGCAGCCGCACCCACCTGCCGGTGCGCCATGTGCTCTCGGCCCTCGCTGGGCGAGCGGGACCAGCGCTGGTCCCGGGCCCGCGCCCGGCCGTGGTCTGGCCGTTCCTGGGCATAGCGGTCCTTGTCAGGGGGCGGGGGGTGGTGGTGGTGGTGGTGGTGGTGGTGCTGTCTATGCTTCCGATCCTTGGGCCGGCCCCGCTCCTGGTCCCGCTCCTTCGACGGCAGGTCCCCGGATTGAGTGGTCATGCTCAGGTCCGTCCCCAAGCCTGGGCCGGGCGAGGGTGGGACAGACAGACAGGTGGTCGTGAGGGACAAGTGGTGCAGATGCACACACAGGAGGCCACCCGGAGGGTGTAGGGCCCTAGAGATCCCCTAGACCAAGGCAGGTCAGTGGGTCGGGGGGACGGGGCCATACCCAGGTTCCTGCAGCCGCTGCCTGGCCCCCTCTGTCCCCTCTCCAAGGAGGCCTTTCCCTTTCTCCTTCCTCAGTGTCTCCCCCGCCCTGCCTTCTCCTCCCCTCTCCTCTGTTCCGCTTGTCCCTGAGCCCCAAGGGGCTGCCCACCTGTGTCCATGTTGGTGCCCACCTGTGTCCACGTCGGTGTAGCGGCCCAGGGAGCGCTCAGAGGTGCGGTGGCTGCGGTCGCGGCGCCGCTGGTGGTGCCGCTGGTTCTCCTCAGGTGGGACCCGCTCCAGTGAGTAGTCATCCAGGCGTCGGGCCTTGGGGCCCAGCACGGAGGCTGAACGCTTCATGGGGCTGGTGTCTGAGATGGTCTGGGAGGGGGACAGGCCAGTGGGCTGGGGTCAGCAGCTAGCACCAAGTGGTCCCGGTCCTTCCTGCCCCATCGCGGCAGCCTGGCGGCGGCCTTTGATGACCGGAGTGTGACCATCCTGGGGCAGGGGCCAGGGGGTGCCGTGGGGCCTTGGCTCCCCCTGATCATTCAGGGCTCTGAGTGTGGCCAGGCCTCTGAGGGTGGAGCGTGAGGACTCCTCTGTCCCTCAGAGACAAGACTGCTCCTTTTGAGCCCATCCTGGGTTCTGACCAGAAAGATCTGACCCTCATCCT